ACCTTTTCAAGAGTGAATTAGAGTGGGAGAGGTATTTCTCTTGCGTCTGAGTGTTCCCAAGAGTGGGCTGCGCTTGATGGTTTTTTCTTGGACCATGTTCCCTTGCTTGCTGTTTCTCGCTTGCTGTTTCTCGCTTGCTGTTTCTTGCTTGCTGTTTCTCGCTTGCTGTTTCTCGCTTGCTGTTTCTCGCTTGCTGTTTCTCGCTTGGTGTTTCTTGCTTGCTGTTTCTCGCTTGCTGTTTCTCGCTTGCTGTTTCTGGCTTGCTGTTTCTCGCTTGCTGTTTCTCGCTTGCTGTTTCTCGCTTGCTGTTTCTTGCTCGCTGTTTCTCGCTTGCTGTTTCTTGGTTGCTGTTTCTCCTCTTTGGCCGTGTCCGTCCCACTCCCCACACGCACATGCATGGCAGGGTGTTGAGTCAGATCCCCTTTCTCACGTGCATGGCAGGGTGTTGAGTCAGATCCCCTTTCTCACGTGCATGGCAGGGTGTTGAGTCAGATCCCCTTTCTCACGTGCATGGCAGGGTGTTGAGTCAGATCCCCTTTCTCACGTGCATGGCAGGGTGTTGAGTCAGATCCCCTTTCTCACGTGCATGGCAGGGTGTTGAGTCAGATCTCCTTTCTCACGTGCATGGCAGGGTGTTGAGTCAGATCCCCTTTCTCACGTGCATGGCAGGGTGTTGAGTCAGATCCCCTTTCTCACGTGCATGGCAGCGTGTTGAGTCAGATCCCCTTTCTCACGTGCATGGCAGGGTGTTGAGTCAGATCCCCTTTCTCACGTGCATGGCAGGGTGCTGAGTCAGATCCCCTTTCTCACGTGCATGGCAGCCTGGCAGGGTGTTGAGTCAGATCCCCTTTCTCACGTGCATGGCAGGGTGCTGAGTCAGATCCCCTTTCTCACGTGCATGGCAGGGTGTTGAGTCAGATCCCCTTTCTCACGTGCATGGCAGGGTGTTGAGTCAGATCCCCTTTCTCACGTGCATGGCAGGGTGTTGAGTCAGATCCCCTTTCTCACGTGCATGGCAGGGTGTTGAGTCAGATCCCCTTTCTCACGTGCATGGCAGGGTGTTGAGTCAGATCCCCTTTCTCACGTGCATGGCAGGGTGTTGAGTCAGATCCCCTTTCTCACGTGCATGGCAGGGTGTTGAGTCAGATCCCCTTTCTCACGTGCATGGCAGCCTGGCAGGGTGTTGAGTCAGATCTCCTTTCTCACGTGCATGGCAGGGTGTTGAGTCAGATCCCCTTTCTCATGTGCATGGCAGGGTGTTGAGTCAGATCCCCTTTCTCACGTGCATGGCAGGGTGTTGAGTCAGATCCCCTTTCTCACGTGCATGGCAGGGTGTTGAGTTTGAACCCCTTTCTCACGGGATCCCTGCCTCGCGCTCTCTCCCGCCTCACCAGACTCCAGCATCTGTCAGCCCCTGAACCCTGCCTCTCCTGCAATCTCTCACTTTTTTGTTTTTTTTTTTTTTTTTTTTTTTTTTTTTCCCCTGTTTTTTTGGGTAGATAAATTACATACATCTGCCCACAACCTCTCGGCATGTAAAAACACCAGGCGAAATTGCCAATCTGTGCGAAAATGCGGGTCTAGTTGCCCGACTTGGGGTCGGGTGTTGTTGTTGTGTCACATCTGTCCCCTCCATTTTCCATAAAAGTTCAGGACGGGATGCAAATCCGTGGGATGGATGTGACCCGAGGTAAGGTCGACCAGGCCTGATCCGTGCCTGGCCAGGGTCGGGTCGGCCTTGTCTTCCCTGGTCGGCCTGGGTCGGGACGGGTCGGCCCGCTGCTGAAATGAATCCCCTCGTGTAGATCGCTTCCTCCTCACAAGCGTATGTTTCCCATCCCATCCCATCCCATCCCATCCCATCCCCTGGCAGGGACTGTCCCACTCCCATACCCTTCATCCCTTGGTGCTTTGCTTTCCATGTCTCCTTTTCTTCTCCTCTGGCCTCCCCCCCCTCCCCCTTTCCCCTACCCCCTGCCCACTTCCACTTTCCCTTTTTCCACTCCCCCTCCCCCCTGCCCCTTGCCCCCCGCTCCCCTTCCCCCTTTCCCCTTCCTCCTTCCCCTTCCCCCCTTCCACCTTCTCCAATCCCCCTCCCTCCTCCCCCCATGCCCCCTTCCCCCCTTCCCCTGCTCACTGCCTCTTCCCCCCTTCCCATTTCCCCCTTCCCCCTCCCCTTTCCCCCTTCCCCCTTCCCCTTCCCCATCCCCCCTCCCCCTTCCCCTTCCCCATTCCCCCTGCCCCAGTTTACTCGGCAACACTGCCATCTCGGGCCGGCTGCCTCGCTTCCTTGCAGCCCTCACTCGCCTCACTGTGCTGTACGCCCCTCCCCCCTTTCCACACGTCTCAAATTTTTCTTCCTAGACTGCTGCTCGCCTAATCGCATGGCTATAGGTACCATCTCGGGCCGGCTGCCTCGCTTCCTCACAGCCCTCAGTCGCCTCACTGTGCTGTGCGCCCCTCCCCAATTTCCTCCCCCACCCTCTGCGCTAAGTTGGAATATGAGCGTTCCACAGTTTATGCGCTAGCGTATAAACGCCAAACGCTGCGGGAGGAGTATCCGGTGGTATGCACAGCATGCGCTGGCCTGGGCAGATGAAATGAAATCCCGGGCCAGTTTGTTAGGTTCAGAGGCGGGGATTTTTGAGACGTCTCAAAAGGTTCAGAGGCGGTGATTTTTGAGACGTCTCAAAAGGTTCAGAGGCAGGATGGCCGAGGTGCAAAGCACGAAGGTGGTGCCTGCTCGTCGATAAGAACGAGGTCGGTAGGAACAAGGTAAAAACAAAACAGAAGGATGGACATCGATTGGAGAAATGAGCCGCATTCAAACCCACCCAGCTTCTGGTTTTCTTTTCTGGTCTGCCGAAACGTTTTTTTTTTTTTTTTTTTTTCCCGCGTTTTTACACAAAAAACGCAGTGTACGTATTTTTGTAGCGTATAAACTCAATACGCAGGTACAGGTGAGCTTTTTTTTCCAACTTAGCATGTGTGTGCGCCCCTCCCCCTCTTCCTCCCCGCCCTGTGTGCCCCTCCCCTCCCGTCCTGCTATTTTTGCTTCTATCTCCTGCCCACTCTATCTCCTGCCCACTCTATCTCCTGCCATGTCTGTGCCTACACCCCAGTCATTTGCCTTCACTTGAGTCAAACTGATGTTTGCTGTCTCCCTCTCCTCGCTTCACTCTCACATTCCTCTGACCAGTCTCTTTCTCCCCTTACGCTTGCTCCCCTCTTATCTCACTTTCCCAAACCGCGTCCCACTCAGTGAATTGATTGGAACAAAGGTTCAAGGAAAGATCCCTGCCGCTTTTGGAGCCCTCACGAATCTTGTAACCTTGTGCGATTTCCTCTTCTCTACGAGTACATACATATTCATATTTAAAATTTGATACACGTTTACTCACATGACATACCTTGATGTGTGCCTTCCACATGACATACCTGGGTGAATCGCAAAAACGCACTTATAATTTGGATCAGAATAGGAGGGGCATACATTGTGGTCTGAGAAAAAAGGGGTGGGAAGCTCTTGGACAAGATGCTTGGGCCCCACCAGTAAGTTGGAATGGAGAACTGAATTTTGAGTTGACTCGAAAGGGATCTTGGCCAATGGCCATGATTATTGCCCCCGCGAATATGTTGGGTCGGAGAATCATTGCGGATCCTAATCATTTCGTTCAAAGTTGATTTAAGATGATTTGGGCTCAAGTAATCTCCCAACCCAGCCTTGGCACCAGAAAATTGTTTTTTGAGAATTAAAAAAAACCAGCTAGTAATCTCCCAACCCAGCCTTGGCACCAGAATATTGGTTTTTGAGAATTTTCAAAAACCAGCTAGTAATCTCCCAACCCAGCCTTGGCACCAGAATATTGGGCCACGGTTGGGTTCCCAACCTGCCACTAAGGCAGACATTCCATTAGTTTGTGCAACCAAACTTAGTAGTTTGGGTAACTTAGTAGTTGGGTGTCAAATTCTACCCGAGCATCATAGCTTACATACCGGACTCAAAGAGGATGCTAATCTGGCGATTCCTCTCTCTGTGTGTCCCGCCCATCTGCCCTCTGTGTGTCCCGCCTTTCAGTCAGTTTCCTAATAGTGGGGTGGGCTGCCCAATGGAGGGACGCTGTGAAATAAATCAGGACCGTTCATCCATGTTTTGCAGGCTCTGTTCGACTTTCTGCTCCACTTGTATCCCAATCAACGGTCAGAATCACACCAACCAACCAACCATACATACACTTAGCCTTGCTTTGGTGATCCGCACTGCAAACCCCCCCGTTTGCACTCCCCAATATATAACCCGCCCATTGATCTCCGCATTCGGTTAAAAACAAATCGCTTCCATACTCAAACATGCCCACCCATCCCCCATCCCGGCCCACCCATCCCTCACCTCACCCCAGCCCTTCATCCCATCCCCCTGTCTTATTCCCCCCCAGCACCAATCCCCAGACCGCCTCCCCCTTCTCCTCCTCCCCCTCCGCCATCCCTCTTCCCCCCACCTCCTCCCCTTATCATCTCAGTCCTGGTCGCCTCCCCTCCTCCTCCCCCCTCTCTCGCCTCCTCCCTCTCACCATCCACAATTGCCGGGGCAGCAGCGGGTGCAGCGGTGCTGCTGCTGGTGGTGCTGGTGGGGGGGGGGGGATGGGGGCTGTGGTGGTGGAGGCGCAGGCAGGCGCGGAAGGGGGAGGTTATGAGTGAGTGGGCAGGGGAGAGGGCGGGAAGCGGGGATAAAGGAGGCATGTGATATGATGTGATGGATGGGTGGGGTGGGTCTTGTAGTGGGGGCACGTGATAAAAGTGCTGTTTTGAGACGTCTCAAATCTACGCTTGTATCAGAGGGGAAGGGAGCAGGGATGAAGCAGGCATGTGATGTGATGGATGGGCGGGTGTTGTTGTGGGGCACGAGTCGACTTTTGAGTCGACTCAAAAGTCACCTCATGGATGGGCGGGTGTTGTTGTGGGGCACGAGTCAACTTTTGAGTCGACTCAAAAGTCACCTCATGGATGGGCGGGTGTTGTTGTGGGGCATGTGTCGCCATGCCAGCAAGTGGTGGGTGGAGTGGAGTGTGCGTGTAAGGGGGTGAGAGGGAGTGTGTGTGAGTAGGTGGGTGTGTGGATGTGAGTAGCTGTGTACGTGTTTTTGCATGTGCTTGTGTGTATTTTTGTGCATGCGTGCGTGTGTGTGTGTGTGTGTGTGTGTGTGTGTGTGTGTGTGTGTGTGTGTGTGTGTGTGTGGCATGCTGCCCCCCCGTTGCTGATGCTACCCTTCTCCTCGTTTCATGTGGTTCCTGCACCTCTCTTTCAACAGCGCCTAATATCTTTGTTTCTCTTGCCTCTCTTCCTTTCTCTTGCCTCTCTTCCTTTCTCTTGCGTCTCTTCCTTTCTTGTGGCCCCCCCATATTCCCCACCCCTTCATCTGCTCAAGAGTCCTACTCACTTGCCGCCTTATTTACACCTCTCGTTCCGCTCATTCCCCTCATTCCCCTCATTCATTCCCTTCATCCCCCCCGCTCCCCTCATTCCCTTCATCTCCCCCGCTCCCCCCGTTCCCCTCATTCCCCCCTTCCCCTTGCAGCTCCTTCCATGCTCAGGCGCACCCTCCCCTGCCCTCACATTCCCCTCTTTCCCTCATTCCCCGTTCCCCTCATTCCCATGATTCCCCCCGTTCCCCTCATTCCCCCCTTCCCCGTCCAGCTCCTTCCATGCTCAGGCGCACCCTCCCCTGCCCTCACATTCCCCTTGCTGACCTAATCAGGGCCACCAATGGGTGGGCAGAGGGGCGGAGGGTGGGGGGAGGCAGGTGGAGTGATGTGTACCGGGGGGAATGGGGGGAATCGGGGGAATCGGGGCGGAGGGCGGAGGGGGGAAAGAGCGAGGAGAGGAGTGAGGCGGAGAGCGATGGTGGGAATGGAAGAGGGGGAGAGGGGAAGCAGGACGGGGGAGAGGGGAAGCAGGACGGGGGAGAGGGGAAGCAGGAAGGGGGAGAGGAGGGGGGCGCGTTGCAGAGGAAGCAGGGGATGCGTGCAGGGAGGGGGAGGGCGCGGGGGCGGGGGGGCGTGTGGGCAGTGAAGCGCATGAGAGGGGGGCCGCCGTGGGAGTCACTGGAGGCCCACGCGCTGGCCTTGGCGCGGGTGGGGCACCCCAACGTGCTCCGCCTCGTGGGGTGGTGCAGCTGGCAGGCTGGGGGGGGCATCGAGGGGCTGCCAGAGGCAGGGCAGAGGGGAGTGCAGGAGGGGGGAGGGGAGGGGGGTATGCAGGAGGGGCGGGCGCGGGGAGAGGAAAGGGGCGGGCAGGAAAGGGGAGCGAAGGGGGGTGGGAAGGAGAGGGGAGAGGAGGGGAGCAGGCAGGAGGAGGGAGAGGAGAAGGGCGGGCAGGAGGGGGGAGAGGAGGGGCAGGTGTTGGTGTATGAGTGGATGGAGAGGGGCAGCTTGCAGGCAGTGCTGCAGGCAGGTGCGCTCACAGTGGACCGCCATGCCATTCACTCACCACCTGTCCTCCTCCACCTCCCACTCCTCTCCACTCCTCTCCTCTCCCCTCCTCTCCCTCATCTCCTCTCCTCTCCTCTCCTCTCCTCTTTTCTCCTCTCCTCACTCCTCTCGTCTCTCTCCTTTCCTCTCCTCTCCTCTCCTCTCCTCTCTCTCCTCTGCTCACTCTCCTCTCCTCTCCTCTCCTCTCCTCTCCTCTCCTCTCCTCACCTCGCCACTCCTCGCTTCTCCTCACTTCTCGTCTCCTCCCATCTCCTCTCCTCTCCTCTCACATCCCATCCCATGCCTGCCCCTCGCAACCACCTCTTTTCGCCTTCCTTGTTTTTCCCTTACCGAGGTAATCCCTCGCGCACCCCACCTTCCTTTCCTCCCAAATCATCTCAGCCCCTCAAGCCCCATTATCGCTGCAGCATTGTGTGGACACAAGAGTGGACCCTCTTCCTTCCCTTGTGACCATCTTGCTTCTCTTGTGACCCTCTTCCGTTCTTCTTGACCCTCTTTCTTTCCTTGCGACCCTCTTCCTTTCCTTGCGACCCTCTTCGTTTCCTTGCGACAATCTTCCTTTCCTTGTGAACTCTTGCACTTGTTTTGTTGACCCCACAGGGCGAACTCCCCATTGCCCACTGCCAACCCTCTTGCACCGTGTCCATCCCATCCCCACACCTCACCTGCTTCGTGCATCAGCCACACTAGTGGGCAGCAGCCCCTTGTCGCTGCGGCAACGGGTGGGCGTCACGGTGGGAGTGCTGAGGGCGCTCAAGTTTTGAGTCCACCCATTGAACCATGTCCAACCCATCCCCACACCTCACCTCCGTCATGTCATGACTCCCAAATCAGCCGCGCAGGCGGGCAGCAGCCCCTTGTCCCTGCGGCAGCGGGTGGGCATCACGGTGGGGGTGCTGAGGGCGCTCAAGGCGGTGCAGAGCCACGGGCAGGTGCACGGCGACCTCAAGCCCTCCAACGTGCTGCTCACTGTTGCCTGGGAGGTGAGTGACGTGATAAAAGAGAGTTTTTGAGACGTCTTAAAAACTCTCAAGGCGGTGCAGAGCCACGGGTGGGTGCACGGCGACCTCAAGCCCTCCAATGTGCTGCTCACTGTTGCCTGGGAGGTGAGTGTGTGTTTTGCCCTACTCAAAGTGATTGGGAGGTGATTGTTGCTGCTGCTTGGGAGATGGGTGCCTTGCCTCTCAACTAAACTTGTTCATTCGAATCCAGTAAACACTTGAGTCGAATTTTTATTACTTGGCTTGGGAAAGTCTCGAGTGCAGATTCTGTCGTAATCTCTTATTTTTCTACATCCATAGGCTAGATTTTGACATGTAGCAATTTCATATATTGGTGGGTTGTTGAGTGTATTCACCAACCGCAACTTATGGTTGGTGAAGATTGGTCCTGAAGCTTGGTCCTTGGTTGGCATTTGCTAACTTTTGGTCCTTAGCTGCACCAAACCCAACCAATTCGCATTTATGGTTGCGTGGGCTACAAGCAAGCTCACCCATTGGCCAGCCTAGCGGCCAACAGGGAAACCTTCCCTTTCGCTCCTCTTGTTCATTTATAGAGAAAGTAAATAGCATCTTGGCTCTTGGCTCCTTACTATAGAGCAAGTACTATATGTTAACGAGAGTGGAGTGTTGGCCCCGCCCTCACGTGGGCAGCGCCGACGGCTTGGTCGGATTTACGGGAGAAGCAGCCGACCGTTCACAGTGGGAGAGCTGCTCGACAGGCTTCGTCGAGCTGCAGGGGACCGCTGTGGTGTTGCTCTCGACCAGGGAGCTCGACAGCTGCAACTGACTGGTCTGGGCGACGGGTGGGCTGTCGACCAGGAGGTGCAGTCCAACCGGGAGGTCAATGGAGCAGTCCGTCGACCTGCAGTTTGACCGGGAGGTCGACGGAGCAGTCCGTCGACTTGACAAGTGAGCAGCGGTCGACGAGGGGAGCTCGACGACAACCGCTGACAGCTCTGGTCGACGGAAGGGGTCCGTCGACCAGGGGGTATCGCGGTGGCGAAGGCAACTTCGGGTTGGTATTCTGAAGTCGATGTGGCTCGTCAGGCGCAGGCAACAGCCGACGGATGCACAATGATGCGAGTCGGGCCAATCGTCTGCGCGCATCTGCGAGTGTGCGCACTGTTGTCTTCTACGGGGCAACGCTGGACAGCCACTTTGCTGAAGCGTTGGCACGCCGTTGACCTGCAGTGTTGGCAGGTCGCTCTTCTGCAGTGCTGGCGCGGCTCCTCTACGCAACACTGGCAGGCGGTCGACTAGGCTAGCTGCAAAGTTGCTAGGTGCCTGATGTAGTCATTGTTGTCATTGCTTGTTCAATCATTCTGTAATACCAACTTTGCCTAGTGCAACTCTTGCCGATTTCTCCCGTATATGAGCAAGCACCAAGGAACTAAGCAAAGCTACGATCACTCCTAGTAGTTCGTGCCAACCCTTGTAGTCTAGCTCACTTCCGTTGTCAAGTGACTCTCCGCACTATAGAGGCTCTTGGCTCCTTACTCGAAACATCGTTTATCTTTTCTCACGGATTCTAACAAGAAGACATGGTTGGGTCGAATCATTTTGATTTGTCCCTCGAATCGACTTCGATGCACCCTTCAAGTGGGGGGAAGGTAAAATTGATGAAATCGGCTTAGCCTAGGACTACTCTCCTCTAAAGTGTCTCTCCATCTTATCCCTCCTCACGGCATCCTGAGCGCATTCCAAGCGTATTGCAAACCTATAAACGCGATACGCTTTCTCCCGCCAAGCTTACATTCCAACTTGGGTCGAGTTTTAGTCGACTCGACTCGTGTCTCACTCGAGACAACGGTCGAGTAAAATCTGATTTGGCATTTCATCATGTCTGCCCTCAACCCACTCTATCTTGCCCTCAATTGCTGCCAAGATAGCATCATGCCGCATCCATGACTGCCTGCACAATCCTCACCTCTCTCACTCCCCTCTTCCACACCCTCCCCTGCCAGGCGCGGGTGGGCGACTGGAGTGCGGTGCGCATGGGGCAGCGCGTGCACGTGGACATGGGCGGGCATCAGGAAGGTTCCTGGACGAGCGGGAGTGGGGAAGGTGGAGGCAGCAAGGGTGGCAGCAGTGGCGAAGCTGGCGGCAGTGGCAGCGCTGGCAGCAGTGGCAAGAGTGGCCACAGTGGGAGTTCGAGCGAGAGCAAGAGGAGTGGCAGCAGCACCAGCAGCAGCAGCAGTGGCAGTGGAGGGTTGAAGCAGCGGAGAGTGTTGCGGTGCACGGAGGGGCATGTGGATCCCGCTGTGCTGCACTCTGACATTGCTTCTGCCATGTCAGACATGTTCAGGTGAGGCGCACATGCTCAGGTGGGACCACATGCTTAGTTGGGCCCCACATGTTCAGGTGGGGCCCACATGTTCAGGTGGGGCCCACATGTTCAGGTGGGGCCCACATGTTCAGGTGGGGCCTACATGTTCAGGTGGGACCCACATGTTCAGGTGGGGCCCACATGTTCAGGTGTTCAGGTGGGGCCCACATGTTCAGGTGGGGCCCACATGTTTCACCATCATCTTGCCCTCTCCACTCTCTCTGCAATTGCCAGTGTGGGAGTGCTGCTGCAACAGCTGCTTATTTCATCTCTCCTACCTCACCCTTTCGCCCTCCCTCTGCCCCTTTTCCTCCGGTCTGTCCTTGCCAGCGTGGGGGTGCTGCTGCTGCAGCTGCTCACGGGTTGGGATGCTCCCTACAAGCATGTGGATGGGCAGCGCGTCCACATCTCTGACTGGGTGCGTGCAGCCCTGCTGCTCATGGCATGGCATGGTATGGTGTGGTGTCGCATGGCGTGGCAGGGAATGGGCTGGCATGGTGTGGCTGGCATGGCATAATGTGGCGTGGCATAGTGGCATGACATGGCGTGGCGTGGCATAGCATGGCATGGCATGGCGTAGCGTAGCATGGTGTAGTTGTGATGATGGTGCGTGCGCAATGTGCATTGACCATGCACTCGCCCCTTGCAAGCCAGCCAGGCATCAGAGCACACAACTCACATTGGAAACCTCCAAGTCTCAAGCTCACAGTGCCCTGCCCCTCCATCCCCCTTGTCTCCTCCCGCTCTCTTCCTATTCATCCTCCTCACCTTCCCCTTCCCTTCTTCCCCTGCCCGCATCTCCCTCTCCCCGTCCTCCCAACCCTCAGGCCCAGCAGCATGTGACAGCCGGCAACGTCTCTCCTCTCCTCGACCCCCTCCTCCCACACCCTCCACCCCCTCACTCCCTCCTCCTCCCCCTCTTCCTCCTCGCCCTCTCCTGCACCTCCCCTTCTCCCTCCTCCCGCCCCACTCCCTCTGCGGCCCTCCGAACCCTCAAGCCCCTTCGAGCCTCCCTGCTGCAAGGGGAGCGGACAGGAGAAAGGCTAGATAGCAGAGAGGGGGACAGCGGAGAGAGACGAGAGGGTGGGGGGCAGAGCATAGGGAGATGGAGCGGGCTGTTCTGGGGGAGTGGCACGGGCATATGGGATGGGCAGGGCAGTGGCGGTGCACTGGGCACACGGCTGGCAATGCTGGGTTCAGAGGATAGTCGCGAGTTTGTGGTGTAGCTCGACGGGCATTTATTGCCTGAGTAGAATCTGGCTGGGCAGGTGTCATTTGTCAAATGCTGTACATTATCTTGATAGCCTTTAGTCAGTAACACTGTAGAGAGTACAAGACTTTCTAGGGTTAGTGTTTGTATCTCCCATCTTCTTAATCACATACATTTCACTGTTCTAACTTTGAGATGGTACCGTATCACGAGTAGATAACGTTCCGAGCCTAGCCTAGCCCGCCCCACCCCGTTCCCTAGCCTAGCCCGCCTTGTCCCGTTCCTTAGCAGGCCGTGCCCTGCCCCGTCCCGTTCCTCAGCAGGCCATGCCCTGCCCCGCCCCGTGTTGGAAACAAGTAATCAACGCTTCTTATAAGTCGTAACATCAGACTGTTAACGAGGCGAACTACAGCGCAGCAATGGCGAGTCAACTGAAGAGGTTGACAGAAAAGTAACAGCTGGAGGTTATGCGAAGGCCAAAGGTCAGCGACCTTTGACTCGACAAATACAGCGCGACAGCAAGGACAAACAACTGACTCGGTATTGAGCAGTTGCCCGAGTCGTCACTGTATCGAACCGCAACAACAATAGTGAAACAATCATTGCATCCTTTCATATTCCTTGTAATCTTAGAAAAGCTTGTATTACTTCATCATAATCAATCTATCTTGCCCTCACACACCAAGGCAAGGTGGTTCAACAATTTATCACTAAACGCTTCCGCAATACAATATACTTATTGGAGTCTTAGCCTTGAACGATCATAAGGGCTTTTCTCAGCCCAACATGGTATGAGAGCAGACAAGGCAAAACCCCACCTCGTTCCAACTCCTACAATATCAGAAGACATGGCAACACAAAAGGAGAGAAGCTCCTCTAACGGCTCTCCCGGCACTACTCCTACTCCACCTCCAGCCTCTGGCCAACAGACAGAGGGAGGCACGGTAACAAGACCAGCTGCTGAGTCCACAGAAACTCCTACGAACCAAACGACCGGCTTCGACCCAAACATGATGGAGAAGTTCTTCTCCTTCATGTCCTTCTACGAACAGCACCAGCAAACAGCACCTGCGCAGTCAAACAACAGCGACAACAACGATGGTGTCACGCCCATGAGTCTTGATGGCTCATCCTACGCGCGCGGAAATCAGCAGCAACCCACCTTCGCTCCGTACGAGCATCAACGCGGCTCCATTAGCTTCATGCCGCATCAGCAGCCTTCACCTTGACAAGAAAAGACACTGGACGCACTTCAGGTTCAATCGCAGTTTGCACACGTCTTAAAGCTGCAGACATCGAGACCATTCGACAGGAAAGACTTCTATACCTGGTCATTCGAGTTCGAGCTGATGATGGAAGGCGCGCAAGTCCTCGGATTCTACGACGGTTCCCTGCCATACCCAACGCACAGAACGCAGTATGACAAGCAGCAATGTACGTATCAGTCACTGATGGCGTACACGATTCCGTTACGCAGCATAACACCAAACGAACAGCAGAAGATCCGGTTTTATCGGGGATACGACAACTATGCCGAGCTCGCGTACAACCACTTGAAGAACATGTATCAAGCAACAGACAGCGTCAATCAGAGCCGGTTAATGGCACAGGTGACAATAGTGGAAATGAAACCTGGTGAAAAAGGGATGGCGTATATCAGTTGTTGTCGCGGACTGCGCGACAGACTCCTTCGATGTGGAGGAGCGATATCTCAAGAAGCCTTTGTCACTGTCATCATTGCTCGACTTGGTCCCCATTGGCGCTCCACCCGAGCCCTTCTCCGAGCTCACGAGAAGATCTCTGAAGCAGCATTTTGAGCTGAAATTCACGCCAAGCAGCAAGACATGGGCGTGCACGCGGAAAATCACGCCGAATAACGCTAGTACCTGAGTTCGCTTTTCACACTCAACGACGGTACAACAACAACAACCACAACAACAAGATCCGACAGAATAAGCATCAACCACAACGGCACGTACCACCGTTCTGCCACCTTTACAAGACGTCAGGACATCCTCGCACACACTGCCCAAATCAGCTGCAGTCAACGCCACCGCAACGTCAACTTCGACCCTCAAGCAGTCAAGTGGCCTCCACGCAGGCGCACTCCACCAGTCAAACGCAGTCTTCAACGACATCGACGACACAATCTCTACAAGGAACAAGAAATATCGTCAGCTATATGGCGAGATTGACAAACTCCTGCATCACCGAGTCACCGCCCCACTACTCACCGGAAGAACAACTCGACGAAAGGACCCCTCGTCGCGAGTCTTTGGAACCAAACCCGACGTACACATGTCAGAACATTATGGCTTATACATTTGTGTAGGCTATAGTGGGGTAGCCCATAAGGGGTACAACCCAATTAGGGTTAGTACTTGTACCCAAATCTTTCATAGTTCAATCATTCTCTCGTTTCATTCTTCACATGGTATAGAGCTGGTTCCCTCGTGGGAACTGTTCCTAGGGCCCACCAATTTTTTTTCTTGCCCGCAGCACGCTTGGCCCCTGCCCGAGTCGCGCCCCGAGTCGTCCCCCCTCTAGCGGCCTCTAGCGGCCACTAATGGCCCTGACGCGCCGCCCTTTCGGCCCCGTCGTGCCGCCCTTGCGGCCCCGTCACGCCGCCCTTGTGGCCCCTTCGCGCCGCCCCTTACGCGGCCTCGTCGCCACCCTTTCCTACGACCCCGTCGCCGCCCTTTCAGCGGCCCCGTCGCCGCCCTTTTAGCGGCCCCGTCGCCGCCCTTCCACGGCCCCGTCGCCGCCCTTTCGCGGCCTCGCCGCTCGCCCTTACAGCGGCCCCGTCGCCCGCCCTTCCGCGGCCCCGACACCGCCCTAAAGCGGCCCTGTTGCTGCCCTCCAGCGGCCCCGTCGCCGCCCTTTCAGCGGCCCAACGGCCGCCCTTTCAGTGGCCCCGTCGCCGCCCGCCCTTTCAGCGGGCCCCGTCGCCGCCCTTTCAACGGCCCCACCGCCGCCCTTTCAGTGGTCCCGTCGCCGCCCGCCCTTTCAGCGGGCCCCGTCGCCGCCCTTTCAGCGGCCCTTCGCCGCCCTTCCCTCGGCGCGTCGCCGCCCTTTCAGCGGCCCGTCGCCGCCCTTTCAGCGGCCTTGTCGCCGCCCTTCAGCGGCCCCGTCGCCGCTCAGCCGCCCAGCGCTCAAGCCGCCGAGCCGCCCAGCAGCCGAGCCGCCCGACAGCCGAGCCGTCCGACCACCGAGCCGCCCAGCAGCCGAGCCGCCCAGCAGCCGAGCCGCCCGACCGCCGAGCCGCCCAGCAGCCGAGCCGCCTGACCGCCGAGCCGCCGAGCTGCCGAGCAGCCGAGCCGCCCGACCGCCGAGCCGCCCGACCGCCCCACTTGCCTGGTAAGAGCAAAGTCTCTGCCACTGCACTGCCTTGCCCCACTGTACTCACTGCCTGTCTAGTGCTGTTATGGCCTCCCCTAGCGTTCTCACCTTTGACGCTGAGGGTCGGGCAGTTGACATGGAGGTCTGGGTAGATGATATGCAGCTTTTCCTGCAGTGCGATAGGGCAGACGGCCTCTCCCTGTTTGACCTCACTTCTGGTGCCTCTCCTGCCCCTGCTGCTGATGCTGACGCCACTCTTCGCTCACAGTGGGCCACGCACCATGCTACTGCTCGCCTTGCTATGCGCCGCCACTTACCGACCACTGAGTGTGCACACTTTAGCCAGTACAAGAGTGCTCAGGCCTTGTACGACGCTGTAGTTGCACGCTACTCTTCCCATGCCACTACTGCACTGAGCCGCCTCATGCTACCGTACCTCTTACCTGACCTTGCTGCCTTTCCCATAGTCGCTGACCTCATTACGCACCTCCGCACTAGTGACACTCGCTACTGCGCTGCGCTTCCTGCTGAGTTCTGCGCCAAGAACCACCCCCCCCCCCCCCCCCCCCCCCATGTACATCACCCTCTACTACATAGTCACCCGGCTCCCTGACTCTCTCCGCGTAGTCAGGGACCACTTCCTCTCAGTTTGCCCCACCACTCTCACCGTTGACCTCCTCGAGAAGGCCCTCCTAGCGATACAGAAGAGCATAGTCGCTGTAGGAGCCTCTCTTGGTGACCCTCGCACCCCCGTCTTTGAGGGGTGTTCTCCCTCCCCCTCTTGCCCTCTGTTGCCTCTGCTGCTGCGGCCGACCTCGTTGGTTTCGAGTCGGTCGGCGCTGCGTCTGCCCCGAGCGGGAAACGCCGCGCTGGCAGGGGCAAGGGGGGCAAGGGCACAGGAGGGGCTCGAGGGGGCGGTGGAGGTGGTGGTGGAGGCAATGGAGGGAGTGGGGGTGGTGGTGGGAGTGGTGTCGGGAGTGGCGGCGGCGGCGGCAGCAGTGGAGGAGGCGGAGGCGGTGGAGGTGGCGGAGAGAGCGAACGCGGTGGAGGTGGCGGAGGTGGTGGAGGTGGAGGAGGCGGCGGAGGCGGCGGAGGTGGCGGCGGCGGTGGTGCTGGAGCGGGTCATGACTCTGCGCAGAGGAGTGGCTCAGGTGGTGGTCCGCGCCAGCAGCAGCGGAGTGGTGTGACCCTCTCCCCTCAGCAGCTTTGTGAATGTTACGCTGCACGTCAACGCGGTGGGGGTTTTGGCCCTTCGCTTACGTCCTCCGTACCGGCGATCGAGCTTTTGAGCAGTGCGAAGGCCCGCACTCCACCCAGCGCTGCTTTGGTCGCCTGACGGAGGCGTGGCGTCGCCAATTCCCTAAGGCGTGAGAGATCCCTCGCTGAGGAGATCTGTCTAAAGCCGGGGTTGCTATCTTTGATCTTGATTTTGATGCTATTCTTGCTGCCATGTATGCTGTTGATACTTGTGTTGCGGGTGACTCTTACTTGTGTGTAGCGCCTGACCCGGTCATTGAGGCTACTGCTCTATGAGCTGGTGAGGATGCTGCTCTAGATGCTAGTGCGTCTGCTGCCCCAGGTGCCAGTGCGTCTGCTGCCCCAGATGCTAGTGAATCTGCTCTCTCAGGTACTACGTCGGCTCAGGCCTTCCACACCTTCACCCTTGACTCGGGTGCGTCCCGCTCCTTCTTTCGAGACCGCACCACTCTTACGCCGCTTAGTCGGCCGGTTGCAGTCTCCCTGGCAGACCCCTCTGGGGGTTCTGTCCTTGCTAGCTTGTCCACTGTACTACTGTGCCCGGCAGCCCCCTCTGGCACCCTGTCAGGTCTCTACCTCCCCTCGTTCTCTACGAACTTGGTGAGTGGAGCGGACCTACAGGATAGGGGGGTTGACCAGTTCACTCCTGCAAGTCAGCGAGTGACCCACTGCACGTGTGCTTGGACAGGTCGACACTTGGCCACGTTCACCCGTCGGCCAGGGTCGAGCTTGTACACCCTTACTACTGAGTCTCCTCCGGTTGCTGAGTCTGGTCAGGTAGCTGCGTCGAGTCAAGTGTTTGCTGCGGTGTCCAGGTCTGGTCCTGAGTCTGCCCCCTGCTCGTGTCGTCTGCTGTCCCACCAGACTCCCCTTTGGCACCACCGCCTTGGTCACCCCTCCTAGCCTCGTCTCCGAGGCATGGCCTCCCATGTCCTTGTCTCTGGTCTCCCTCGGTCTCTCCCTCCCCTTCCTCTAGGGCCTGGCCCTACCTGTGTCCCCTGCGTCGAGGGGCGACAGCGCGCCGCCCCTCACTCCACTGAGTTTCCTCCGACAGAGGCTCCGCTGCAGACTCTCCACATGGACCTGTAGTTCCCAGCTCGCGTCAGTGGGTAGGGGCGAGAGCGGTACTTTCTACTGGTGGTTGACGACTTCTCGCGTTACACCACAGTCTTCCCCTTGCGCAGCAAGGGTGACGTCACTGAGGTGTCGATCGACTGGATCCGCGCAGCTCGTCTCCAGCTCAGAGAGAGTTTCGGCTCGGACTTTCTTGTTCTGCGTCTGCACTCGGACAGAGGCGGGGAGTTTTCCTCTGCTCGTCTGGGAGCCTTCTGCGGTGGACAGGGCATCCGCCAGACCTTCACGCTTCCGGCCTCTTCACAGCAAAATGGGATTGCTGAGCGCCGCATTTGCATGGTCATGGACGTCGCGCGTACGTCCATGATGCATGCGGCTGCCCCCCATTTTCTGTGGCCGTTTGCGGTTCAGTACGCCATGCATCAGCTCAACCTTCAGCCCCAGGTCTCCTTGCCAGAGGCCTCCCCGGCCTTGCGGTGGACCGGGAAGGTTGGCGATGCGTCTGCCTTTCGGGTCTGGGGATCTCGGGCGATTGTCCGTGACTTGTCTGCGGACAAGCTGTCCCCCCGTGCTGTTCCCTGCGTCTTCTTTGGCTTCCCCCCTGACGCGCTTGGGTGGCAGTTTTACCACCCCACCTCGCGCCGTGTTCTGTCCTCCTAGGACGTCACCTTTGACGAGTCGGTGCCTTACTACCGTCTCTTCCCCTACTGCACTGCGCCCCTCCCCCCGCCGCCGCTCTTCCTTGTGCCAGGTCCTCTCCTGGTAGACCCCCTCCCCCCTCACGGTCCTGCCCCGTCAGGTGTGTCCCAGGTAGACGCAGTCGAACCTGTCAAGGTAGCTGTTGACTCTGGTGCTGCTAGAGGTGCTAGGTCTACGGGTGCCGGGTCTGGGGGTGCTGAGTCTGGGGGTGCTGAGACGGGGGGTGCTGAGCCTTGGGGTGGTGAGTTTGGGGGTGCTGAGCCTGGGGGTGCTAGGTCTGCTCGTGTGGCCGCCGGCGGTGCTTTGTCGAGGCGGGAGCCACTTTCTCCACAGGAGCTGCGTGAGTGGTTTGCCCGCCGCTGGAGACGTGCTGCTGAGACTGGGGGTGTTGCTTGGGGTGTTGGCGCTGGTGTCTCTATATGCGCTGGTGCGTCTGGGGGTGCTACTGAGCCTACTAGAGCTGGTGCTGCTGGAGCTGGAGCTGCTGGAGCTGGAGCTGCTGGGGGTGTTGGCACTGGTGGTGCTGGAGGCACTGATGTTTCTGAGGCTACTGGAGCTGCCAGTCCTACTGGAGCTGGTGCTGCTGGAGCTGGAGCTGCTGGGGGTGTTGGCGCAGGCGGTGCTGCTGGCGCTGGTGCTTCTGAGGGTACTGGAGTTGGCGCTGTTGGAGCTGGAGGTGCTACTGGCGCTGGTGCTGCCGCTAGGGGTACTCGTGCTGTCCTTGCTGGTTCTGGAGGCGCTGCGCGGCCGAGGCCATACTTCGTTCCGCTCTTGGAGCAGGTTCTTTGTCTCCCGCCCTCTACCGGTCCTGCTCCTCCCTTAGAGTGTCCACAGCCTTTCCGGTCGTAGTCACAGTTACAGCCCGCCTCCCCTCTACCTGCTCCTTATCCCTACACTGGTCCTACTGGAGGTCTTGCTTAGCGTCGTGAGCCTGCGTCTCACCCTGCGTCGCCTGTTCGTGCTGCTCGCACTAGTGGTCGTACTGCGCGTCCACGTCCTCCTGCGGTCCCCGGCACACACCAGATGGCACTGCGTCCTTCCACTGCTCCTCTGCGTGTCCCGTTGCCGTCTCCTCCAGAGTCTTCTCTTCCTACTCTTGCTGACCCAGAGTCTGACTCCCTTTGTGCTGCTAGTCCTTCGGTCACGCGCCTTCTTGCTAGTGTTGTCACTGACCCTTCCTTTGAGTCCACTGCTGCGTCTGCCCTCGTTGCTGAGCTTGTCGACTTCGCTGCTCGCTGTCGTCTATACTACGCTACCAGTCTCGTTGCTGAGTCTGAGTCTGTCTGTCCTCCGTACGTCGGGGGTGAGTCAGCTCTTAGCACGGACGTCCTTGAGGACAGGCAGGAGGAGTTCCAGTGCTTTGTGGCTACTTTGCCCCATCTCGTGTCCACGCTGATTGCCCCTGAGGGAGACCCGGATGCACCAGACATCCTGACTTCTTGATCGTACGCAGAGGCGATCGAGGGTCCCTACTTCTCTCAGTGGCATTCGGCCATGGACACAAAGATGGCTTCCTGAAAGTCCACAAGCACCTACATCGACGAGGTTCCCCCACCTGGGGCGAACATCGTCAGTGGCATGTGGATTTTCAGGGTGAAGCGGCCGTCAGGCACTCCGCCTGTCTTCAAGGCGCGTTACGTGGCTCGAGGCTTCAGTCAGCGGCAGGGAGTTGACTACTTTCAAACCTTCTCTCCCACCCCGAAGATGACCACTCTTTGGGTGCTGCTGCACATAGCCGCTCAGCGCGATTACGAGCTTCACTCTCTTGACTTCAGCACAGCTTTCCTGCAGGGCAGCCTCCATGAGGAGATCTGGCTGCGCCGCCCTCCTGGCTTCACTGGGTCGTTTCCTCCTGGTACCCAGTGGAGCCTCCGGCGGCCAGTCTACGGTCTCCATCAGGCGCCCCGTGAGTGGCACGACACACTGAGGACTACGCTTGCGGCTCTTGGGTTTGCTCCTTCTACAGCCGACCCGTCGCTGTTTCTGCGCATCGACACCTCTCTGCCGCCATTCTACATCCTCGTGTACGTCGACGACTTGGTATTTGCCACTGCTGACACTGCTGGACTCGCCCACGTGAAGTCCAAGCTGCAGAAGAGACACACGTGCATAGACCTGGGTGAAATGTGCAGCTACCTTGACTTGGAGATCACCCAGGACAGAGCACGCCGCACCATTACCCTGACTCAGTGACACATGGTGCAGCAGGTCCTTCAGCGCTTCGGCTTCACGTACTCCTCGCCTCAGGCCACTCCTCTGTCTACTCGCCACTCGCTCTCAGCTCTGCCTTCGGATGAGTCCATAGAGTGGAGTGGCCCGTACCTTGAGCTTGTTGGTTGCCTCATGTACCTGATGACCTGCACACGACCTGACCTTGCATACCCTCTTAGCATCTTGGCACGCTATGTTGCTCCTGGGAGACACCGACCAGAGCACATGGCTGCAGCGAAGAGGGTGTTGCGCTACGTGTGCAGTACGTCGGGCATGGGGCTAGTGCTTGGAGGGCGACTTCGAGTGGTCCTCACAGGTCACGCTGACCCTTCTTGGGCTGACGACTAGGCTCTGCAGCGGTCGTCACAGGGTTACACCTTCAGCCTTGGCTCCGGCTCTGTTTCGTGGCGGTCTACCCGCTCGTCTTCTGTTCTCAGCTCCAGTTGTGAGGCTGAGATCTACGCCGGGGCCATGGCTGCACAGGAGCTACGCTAGCTCACCTATCTGCTGACTGGCCTAGGAGAGCAGCCTCGTTCTCCTCCAGTTCTGTACGTAGACAACAAGGCCATGCTGGCCTTGTGTCGGGAGCACAGACTGGAGCACAGAACGAAGCACATTGCTCTCCGCTACTTCCTGGCTCGTGAGCTGCAGCAGCGTGGTCAGCTCCACCTCACACGAAGACAAGGGATAGTGTAACTTTAGTTACGAGAGACTAACGTGATTATGCAAATGTCGAAAGTCTTAACTGCAGAAGGAATCGGCTACAACTTAATTAGCGTCAGTCAACTGATGGCGAAAGGAATTGATCTTGAAGCAGACAGCATCACTAAGGGATTCAAGCTGTACTTTGGGAGAGGTGGACTCTACATCGGCAAAGCGGTCCTGAAGAAGAACGTCTTCGTTCTCAACTTTGTTCCCGAACAAGGCATGGCCGACAGCGATGCCATCGTCAATTTCGCCTCCTGGATACACCCGCCAGATCTCGACCCCAACTTCAATCCTGGAGGCTTCTGGTACTCGCACACTATACCTGAAGTAGATCGAACAAGAGCGTTAGCAACAATCCAACAAACATCGGCAGCAGCAGAGACAATGCCGGCAGCAGCAGAGACAACATCGGCAGCAGCAGAGACAACATTGTCAGCAGCAGAGACAACACCGGCAGCAGTAGAGGCAACACCGACTACGACACCATCAACAGCACCAGCTCCACTCAACGATACTCCACTGACTCGTGCGCAGCAGTTAACTCCCACACCACGATAAGTCCACAGAAGCGCCAACTTCACCACCGGTTTTTATCCCAACTCCGACCTGTACAGGTGCTCACCCGGACATCGTGCTGGCGAAGACATCTGGCACTCAAAAATGGGACACCCGAGCAACACAACGTTAAACAACACGATTCCGAGCAGGCATCCTTGATAAAGATTCACTACTTCTACTCAACGGCAGAGAACTTCAACGAGTCCGCGGAACGTGTTTTACCTGCCTCAAAGCCGACTTATCGCATCAGCCGTTCGTCTCTCACCACAACCCAAGCGCACCAGCGTACGCACCACTGGAGAAGGTGTACAGCGACATACTGTACAATCGTGAACCCGGGCAAGGAGCCTGTAACTACGTCATCACGTTCATCGACGCCGCCACACGATACATCTGGCACTTCAACCTCCCGAGTCGCGACATGGCCCTTGACGCTTTCGCCGCTTGGCTTCCAGCAGCAGAACGAGAATCAGGAGTGAAGCTGAAAAGTTTCCAGTCAAACGGGGGAGGGGAATATCAGTCACAGAAATTCAAGGACTACTTAGCGGAAAGAGGCATCAAAAGGCTCATCTCCCTTCCCTACACCCATCAACAGCAAGGCGTGGCAGAAAGAATGAACAAGACTCTTCATAACACCATGCGCAAACTGTTGCGTGGCATGCGGCTACCCAACCACCAGTAGCCCGAGGCGATGGACCACGCTGTCATGCTGCACAACTTGCTCTCGTCATCATCTCTCCCGAACAACACATCACTACACCTGTTGTGGACAGGAAATTTGGGCAGCAAAAAAATGTTGCGAGTGTTTGGCTGCATGGTACAGTACCGACTCCCAGCTGCACAAGCTGGCCGATTTTCTCAACGTGCACAGTGGGGAGTACACCTAAGCATCGAAAAACATTACAACTCATGGAAGATTTTCTACGTCCACTCAAAGGAAACATTAGCAGGACGTGACGTGATTTTCTACGAACGACTTACCCTCTCAACATACCTTGCCAACCTGGAAGAAGACCGAGACCCCACAGGTGGATTTCATGGTGACCGAGCCTTCGCTTTGGCAGCGGACGAAGCTGACTGGGACGAGCAGAATGTGGACGGAGCTTCGGAGGAAGCCGGATCTCTTCCCTACTGTTCCGTCGACGTCCCAATGGACGACGAAAACCCTCGCGAAAGCATCAACGCCGAAGTCTATTACCACTTCGCCGACAACGGTTACGTTACACGTGCAAGAGTCAACACCGATAAAGCAGAATGCGCAGGACCCAACTTCACACCTGATCCAGAAGCAGGAGACAAAACAGCTTATCCCGAGGACACAAATCTCCCCCGCTACACACAGAGTGGGGTGCAGATACTGGGACTCGTCACCGCCGTCCATGGAGCAGCACCACCTAAGGAGCCTGCCATGATTCAGTAGACTGTAGGGGGGAGCATAGGGAAAAATGGTGCGAAGCCATGGACAAGGAGTTGAAGGCGCTGGAAGAACGCAACACCTAGAAATTCGTACCCATCGAAGTGACACGCAACAAGACAATACTCACCGGGAAATGGGTTTTCCGTGTGAAAACTCTCAGAATCCCAACCACTAGACCATTGGGATAAAAGGGCTTGTTTTAGTAGCGGGTCAGTGCGCCCATAACCCCCCAGGCGAACGCGCCTGTAACCCTCTCCAGGATCAATCGGGCATCCACAGTGCAGATCTACTGACACCCCCCCACACTGGGAGGCTCAGGACTAAGCACAGCAGCACCGGCCTACATGTGCATACACCGGGATTCGAACCCGAGATCGCTCTGATACCATGTCAGAATCCCAACCACTAGACCATTGGGATAAAAGGGCTTGTTTTAGTAGCGGGTCAGTGCGCCCATAACCCCCCAGGCGAACGCGCCTGTAACCCTCTCCAGGATCAATCGGGCATCCACAGTGCAGATCTACTGACACCCCCCCACACTGGGAGGCTCAGGACTAAGCACAGCAGCACCGGCCTACATGTGCATACACCGGGATTCGAACCCGAGATCGCTCTGATACCATGTCAGAATCCCAACCACTAGACCATTGGGATAAAAGGGCTTGTTTTAGTAGCGGGTCAGTGCGCCCATAACCCCCCAGGCGAACGCGCCTGTAACCCTCTCCAGGATCAATCGGGCATCCACTATGCAGATCTACTGACAAAAACATTGGCAGACGGAACCATCGACAAATTCAATGCGCGCTGGGTCTTTCGTGGCTTCGATCAAGAGCACGAACGAGACTTCACCGAAACATTCGCTCCGATCATTCGACACTCCTCACTGCGGATTCTTCTCGTGATAGCCGCCATGAAGTGAAAAAAACTCTGACAAATCGACATCGCCAATGCCTTCCTCTACGCCCCTGTCGACGCTGAAATCTTCGTCGACCAACCTCACGGGTCTAATGCAGACCCTAACCGAGCCTGTCAGCTGCTAAAATCCCTGTACAGGATCAAGCAGGCTCTGAGGCTGTGGCAGCAGTACCTACACGCCCGGCTAATTCGCATCGGATTCCATCAACTGCCACACAATCAAGAGATGTACCGACTCACGAAAGGCGCCGACTACATTCTGCTCATCGTCTACGTAGACGATTTGCTCTACATCGGCTCGTTTGACGGTATTACAACCTGGTTTGAAGGGGAGCTGCAGCGGGATTTCACACTCACCGTCTCCTCCACCGTGACGCAGTACCTCCGGCTCAACATATAGGAAGGAGAAAACGCGATCCGCCTCAGCGCTGCAAAATACGCCGACACCATCGCTAAACGCTTTGGATTAACCCCGACCACAATCTCCACGCCATACCGCTACACCGACGGAAACTGCAAGGAAGCCTCCGCTCCACCAAAACCCACTGGCATACGCGACTCTCAATGAAAGATGGGATGTTTGCTCTTCGCAGCCGTCACCTGCCGACCGGACCTATCATACTCAGCGAGCCAGCTCGACACCTATCTCAAGAAACCTGAAGCAGAACACATGGCGGAGCTCGATCGCACTCTTCACTACCTTGTAAGCACCCTGATGATTGGCCTGACATACCACAAAACCGGAACCACAACGCCTAAGCTAATCGGCTACGTGGATGCTGACCACGCTGGCGACTCTGACAACAGCTACATCTATCGGCTCGAACCTATCAGGCCTATCTCGTGGCACTCAAGCAAGCAAGAACTAATCGCTCTCTCCTCAGCTAAAGCAGAATATATTGCACTCTGCTCAGCCACCAACGAAGAACTGTACCTTCACGAACTGCTGGAAGAAACGAACTTTGCCCAGTTACCCAGCTTCTCCCTATTTTGCGACAACCAATATGCAATTCGCATAGCAAACAAGAACGGGTTCGCGAACCGGACGAAGCACATCGCCCTGTGATATTTCTTCGTGAAAGACGAGATCGAGAAGGGGAGACTCGAGCTATCCTATTGCACCATGTCCGAGATGGCAGCTGATTACTTGACCAAGAAGCTCGGAAAGCAGAAGTTCGAATACTGCATGCTACTGACTGGACAAGGCCACGTCACCAGCAACGACACTCCTTATGTGTCAAAACATCAGACTGTAAACGAGGCGAACTACAACGCAGCAATGGCGAGTCAACTGAAGAGTTTGATAGGAAAGTAACAGTTGGAGGTAATGCGAAGGTCAAAGGTCGGCGACCTTTGACTTTACAAATACAGCGCGATAGCAAGGACAAACAACTGACTCGGTATTGAGCAGTTGCCCGAGTCGTCACTGTATCGCCGCAACAACAACAGTAAAACAGTTATTGCATCCTTTCATATTCCTTGTAATCCTATAAAAGCCAGTATTAGTACTTTATAATCAATCTATCTTGCCCTCACACACCAGCGCAAGGTGGTTCAACAATTTATCACTAAACGCTTCCGCAATACAATATCCTTATTGGAGTCTTAGCTTTGAACGATCCTAAGGGCTTTTCTCAGCCCAACGCCTCGCACATAGCCAGCTGCAAACAGCGCACTGCCCCGTCCCGTGCCCGCCCGTGCCCTACCTGCCCCGCTCTGCAGAGCCCGCCCTACGCTACCTGCGCTGCGC